ACAATTACAGACTAAACTGGGCGAGTTAGTACCACTTTAGTCTCTTTTTACTCGAAGCAAAATCAGGAGAGGTGGAGCCCACCCTTTTCCCTCCCGGCGGAAGAAGAGAAGCAAGAGGCAAATGAGGGTCGAGGGGAGAGTGGAGCAGGGGGGGTGGAGGAGAAGAGAGAGGTTGATGGAGGCGACGGTCGCTGTGAACGGTGAAGGCTAACTTGGGATTATCAAATTGCGCGATGGAAAGTCTTATCCGCTCTTTGGAAGTGGATGGGCTGGCAATCATCTCCGGATTCCTTGCAAGGTTGTACCAGTTGTACCTTTAGTACAAAAGTATGTTGTAGGACGGTGTCTGTCTTCAAAGTATCTTATCTAGCATCTACGTATCTATTGGACTAAATGGAAATGATTTGATTTGACTTTGGACGGCATTAGATTCAGCACGAGTCGGATGTCTCCAGGCACGAGCGGGTTGCCGATCTTGCCACTCGGAGGGTGAATGCTGTGCTGTGCGTGTGTCATACAACAACGTGGTACTACTATTGGGAACTTTCGGCCGCCATGAACCACGGATTTCCTTTCAGCAACTGGGGAGCATTGCTCTAAGAAGTAGTTCAACAGCCTTCATGGTATAGTACCTTGGTTGGATGAGCAATAGTAACAACCGTGACTTGAGACCGTTGGAACTTGGAAGAAGCCATTGGGACCTTTTTTTTTTCTTTTTCCCTTTTTTCCCACTTTTTCCCAGAGAAGCAACGAAGGAAAAGGCAGCGAAGCCCCCAAGAAAGACAACGATCTCCAGAACCAAATTAACTAACGAATGCGACCCACTCAGTCTTCGAAACAAAGCCCTAAAACCGTCCGACTGCAGGAAAGGGGCGCTACTGTACGTCTGTAACCGCTTAACCGACCCGTGTTGGTCTGCTTGGCCACTCCGCCTCGAGGTTTCTCTCATCTTAGGCGAAGTTGTACGTCACTAGTAATCCTCTGAATATTTGAATGAAATTGGAAGGTGTCTGGGACAATGATCCGTGATGTTCCTGGACGAATTTTCTGGGTCTTATCCCATCCCCTCTTCTGCCTTCTCTGCCTAAAGAATAGTCACAAAGAGATATGCCACGGTTGAGCCCGTCTATTGGTCGTACCAGGTTTCGGTACTTCATATCCTTCCCGAAAATATCCAGACCCATCCAACACAAGGTCAAACTCTGATTTCCGACTATTAAATCCAATCAATACCCCTGGGCCGAAGCGGAAGGCGGCCGTGCCCAGGGCCAATGGACATGGGGTCCACCCCCATCACCACGGGCACCTCCTCCCCCTCTGCCTCTCTCACTCCCCTTTTGAGTCTCTGAAGAATTAGAGGAGCGATGGTGCTTTTTCTGAGCGATTACGCAATGAGGCTCGAAAAAAAGGGCCCCGTTTCTTTCCAGAAATGCTAGGCATTCCTGTCAATCTGCCTTGTATCCGTCACAGAATTCTCACAGGCAAAAGGGATGATGACAACCGAGACGAGGTCGCAATTATCAAAATGGGGATCCTTTCGAACGGGACTGACAAGGTAGATCATCGGTGGGTAGTAACGACCATAATGCATGAGCGTGCTGCATGACTCTCCAGCACACACGCAATTTCTCCATATCTACCCCATACGCTACTGAATTGCCATATGAGGCTAAAGGACGCCCTGACAAATCTTATATGAACTATTCGGGACCACAAAATCCTCCGGCCTTCCTTCTCAGTATTAAGTTGCTGGGAAGCACAGGGCAAATCCCTGCTTGATGTGCCGTCCCCAAAGTTACTCTGGAGTGAGTAGTCTATCTTCTTGCTATTTATTGTTGACCCCTGCAATAATCCGGGTGCGCAGTTAGTTACTAGAGACTAGTTAGGTAAGAAGCCAAAGATTTGAAATACCATTACAGGCACACACCCACACAACCCCCCACCATCACGCGACGATCGAACAACCATACATACAGCATCGCTGGACATATCCCAAAAATCTCCTCTCCGTGCCTTCCCAGTGGACCGATCCCAGTACCCAGTCATGCTCAGTCATGACCAATGGACAGACAGTGACCTCCGTGGTTCTCGCATTCCGTGGTTCGGACGGCCCTCGATATAGCTGTTCCGGGTAAGTCCTCGGATAGTTAATCGGGTACACCAGGGGACTCTGGCCTATGATTGGTTTCCGACTACAGATTTTAATCTATCTCGGATATGGTCGCTATACCCACTTTGTCTCTCTCTCTCTCCCTCTCTCAGCTGAGTCCGTTCAGGTCCCAGGTTCAGCTCAGTCCAGTTGGGTCTAGTGAGATGGGGAAAAATCCACGTAAAAGCTCCAGCTGAGACCACACTGCATGACTCAAGCAGTGGCTATATTAAGCGACGGGGAGACCGATAGTAGATGGGAAGTCCCAATAGGCTGGAGATGCACGGTAGGTGCATACTCTATCTATCCATCCATCTTTAAGATTATTCTAGGTAGTACACATATCCTCCTAGGGACCATTTGATCAAAAGGAATAATAATCTAAAGTAGTGGGGGTCAGCTGTCATTCCGGAGCCAAGGACATGGGACGCACCGGGAAGATGCAATCCTCGAAGAGTTCTAGACCTCGAGTGATCTATGATGGATTCAGCTATTGTGTTTACCATATTCTTTTCAGCTGCATCTAGATCACGCCTCTATCTATGATCAGAATATCATCCTGAATCTAGACTAGGATACACTTCTCATAGGAGATGTCCGACCCTGGCACCTTCAACTTAGCAGCAACAGCAACAACAACAGCAGCAGCGACAGCGGCAACATGATCCCAATCGCACCAACCACACCACAGCATCACCTCTTCTAATGCCATGCATCCTAGCGCAGCGGGAGTGGCTTGTCAATAGTCAGAGCACTATTATTCAGCTAGACTAACCCCAAGTCCCATAATAACGGAATGAGATCAATACTGCTTGCTGCCCAATGAACCCAACTAATGACATAAACTGACATCTCTAGCTAATATGATCTCCACCTAGAATCATCATGATCTAGACCAATAGATAACCATAACTGGCTGCTAATTACACAAATCACGTTCCCATGTAGTACTACTTATGCAGGTGGCCTAGGACGCCAATCTAGCTAACTAACCCCGCAATCACTCAACTCACGCACCAGATAGCCCGCACATGTTCTTGTGTAGCGTTCAACGATACACCTTCTGGCTCGTGTGACAGTGCGATAGATGGATGAACTGAGTAGAATTTTCTGTTTCTGTGTCTGTTTTTGGTGCCACAAAAACCGAGATATACTCCGCTATAAGCTGACTGACCGGGGGAGACTGATTGACGGGCCGCTGCTACGATGATAGCCATTGCCCTGCTAAGTATCAAGGTAAAATACTCACCAAATTAGTTAACAATGTCCATGTATGCAGTATCAACACATGTGAACCATTCAATTCCGATAAACACCCGGCGTCGGGGCACAGTCACACAGCCCAGCCCAGTCCATTCGCCACGATGGGCAAGGGAATCCAGCTAGCATCATCACCATCATTATTCCCTGCAGGAATTAAAGGGACGATCAGTCAATCGATCGATCGATCGCAAGTGCGAGAGTGTGTGTGCGCTATATCTGGCGCAGCCTGCATATACAGACAGCAAGTACATAGACCCAGGCATCTATCTGTACACAAGTAATGAGCAAGGTAAAGGAGACTCAAAGTCCGAACCCCGACCGATCAGCCAAAGTAGACAGAATACTACTCCTACTACCGTAGATGACATGCATATAGCCCCCATCTCAAGCCAGCCAACATGACATGTACTGTATGTGCTGTGCTCCACACCACCAATATGTAAGTAATACAAATACTTAACTAGCGAACAACCAACAATGAATCAACAATAGAACACACACAAAGGAACCACACTAGACTGTATTTAGCAATAGAAACAACACGGCAGCATTTCCAACTAACTCATCAATCACAATTTCATTAGAATCATACGATCTAACTGGCTCGGTGGAGGCGATTGTGGCTTCGGTAACTAAGATTGTTAGTACAAAGTTAGTTAGTTGCTTGCATAGTGGACAAGTAGACTAGTAAGTAGTGTAGTTGATTTGATTTGAATTAATCTGGTGTAGGCGAATTCCGCTTTCCGTTCATAAGGCCGGCTCCTTCATTTACCTACTAGGTAGTGTTAATTTAGTGGGTTAGTTTCTGCCTGTTTGATTTGATTGTGACGTGGCTGGCTGGTTGGCTGGCTTAGCACACTCGGTTATTATTCGTTATGTCATTTTGCTGCGACGGCCTGGTAGCCAGTTAGTGTTAGTTACTAACTAGTCAAGTAAGGTACTAATCGGATCTGATCTGACATCAGCTCTGATCTGTTGTTGGAGTCATTAGTTAACATCCTCCTTCCAGCGAAGGAACTGAAAGTTGTCACCTATGCCATGGTTAGCGTAAGCAAGGTTGCTGACATGCCTTAACTACTGGTTACTAAGGAACTCAACTCGGAGGTAACTGGCCATGTCATAATACCGATGCAAGTACCTTGTAGGTATTGTTTGGCCCCCAAGCGATCGGTTTCACAGCAGAACCGGGTATCATACCTCAAGCCTCGCTCGTTTCAGGTCAGGTGGATTATCCACAATCCCCAACTGGGCACTTACTATGACAATGTGTGTTACAGCTGGACGGGCTGTGCCTTGCTTGACGGACTCAACTTGTTTCAAGACTAACAGGGAAGGTTTGTTTTATAGCATCATCTGAGCGTATGCTTGACACTTCTATGTTTCGAGTACTGTTCGATAATGAGACAGTATTCTCCAATGGCCTGGGTCGTGTCTATTGCCTTCTTGGGCTGGTAGGGATCTCGATGACCTTTGATATGTAGAAGGAAATGGCACTTTTATTTCAATGTCATGCTATTGATAATATATTATCAAGACTATTGAACCCCGCCCATGAGCTTTTGGCAGAAATCGGTTGTGCTGTGCAATGGCACACCGTAAAAAGAAAACTGTCAAGCAAAAATCAATATCTGGGCTAGTTCCAGTTTGCAAATTCTTTTCATCCGTCATATCATCATTTCTGTATGATCTTTGACTCTAGTGGACCAAAAAGCCATTCCAATTTTCCAGTGCATACGCAACACCGCTGGTGAAGAAGCTTAGCTCGTCTGGCCCTACGTTGGTGTCACACGCTAGTCTTTCGGAGAGTAGATTCTCGATCTTGGCCAGCAAGTCCTTATTGTGACTTCTACCGGCTCTCGAGGGACGGTCAGAGGCGCCTTCTTCGTTAACGAGGTTGGCAAGTTCTCCAAAGTCCTTCTTGGCAACTATGTTGCGGAAAAGCCCAATGACGTGATTCAGCACATTGTCAAAATAGGTACCGCTGGCACTATCCAGGTCCAAGTACGGCGAGTCCAGACGACCGATGTAGAAGTCATTGGCCTGTTTGCGAAGGCGGGCTTTGTATTCGAGATCGCGAATCCCGTTGATGCCGTTCATGTAGGCAAGAAACAGCCTCTTGTCCAGATCGACGATGTCGCTGGTGTGCTCTTCAGGCAGCTGTTTGATCGACTCGAGCGTACTGCTGAGTTCGTCATCCTCGATGTCGTTGACGTCCAGCTCGTCAACTGACTCCTTGAACCGGAGCGTGCCAGCTGCCAGTGCACGTTCCATTAGCTCGTGGCCAGTCAGCTCTACTTCAGAGTCTTCATCGTCGTCCAGCGAATCTGGAGCATCGATATAGCGTATGTTCGTGTCAAATCGAACCATGGGTCCAAAAGAGATGAAAGATCCATCCAGGGATTCGGCATCGTCTTCGTCACATGAGTCTGACATTATATCAGATGCGTCGTCCCACCCGGAGACATGGTACATATCATCATCATCGTCATCACTGTCTTCGAATATCGCATCATAGTCGTATTCCGAGTTTTCCGATGCATAGCCCGACTCTGATTCCTCATCTTCTTCGATTTCGGAATACGGTCTTTTCAAGATGGGCTTCAAGAAGGAACCAAGAGACGGTTCGGTTGCAGTCACCGGGCCTGATACACCAGAGGTGTTCGAGGTGGTTTGCTTGGTCGACACGACAGAGACTTCGTCCGAGGCATAGCAACTGTCATGAGAGATCGATACTTCAAGTTGAGAAAACGTTGAAGAGAGAGACTCCCATGACTTTTTGTTCATGTTTTGAGGGCTCATTTTGGTAGAGGCCTTTTGCAGAATGATCTGGTCAACAAAGAATGCCAACAGCGGCAATGACCAAAAAAACCCAAAGCAAACTTGACAAAAGTTTTCCCACTCGCACTTGTAGCGACTGGGATGGAGAGAGGTCAATTGCCTTTGGCAAGGGAAGAAGAGTGGAGATTTTTTGATTTCAAAAAGTGGCTTCGAAGGCCTCCAAATGGTTTGAAGGAATCCATGGTGAAGCACAGGCGCAAAGGTAGTAGCCGCCTAGTGAGAGCCGAGAAGGCCCTTGACCAGAATAACCTTGCAAAACATTATGGATATCGGTAAATTCACTTCAAGTTGGGGGATTGTTTTGAGTCAAGACGCATGCGCGTTTGGTTGTTGGAAAGGTTCTTGGCCGAGATATACGGTTTAAGCCCTTTCTTTCCCTTGAAAACACGTTCGATTTCGATGGAGTGTCTGACGTGATACATATAGACTGCTGGGTCGTTTGTGAACTCGGTTGTTGAGTTGAATGAGAATGCGCAGTATTTGATGCTAGACAAATACCGCGACGCGTTGAGTAGTGCTTAGGTAGTATCCGTCAACTCTGCGTGAGGATGACGGCGTTATGGGCTCTGTTCGGAACTTGGCTGGGTGCTTTGTTCGTAAAGAGGGGCAATAACCGATGGCCGATGCCCTGGCGCTATAATGTCATGCCCACTTTTCGTGGGGATACGAGTGGTGCAACGGGAGGGGACGAGGGGTAAAAAACGAAAATTCGTTGAGAGACAGTCCCTCAAAGGAAGTTCGAGTATGATAAGTCTCGACGACTGTCCGCCGAGAAGTGTCTAGAATGGATGAGAAATAGCACAGTAACCAGTGCTGGGGTGGAAGAAAGGGATGGGAACAAGGCGAACCTCGCGGGTGTCAGTCAGATTTCCGTCATCACCACATGACCTTGGCCTTGTTGCCTCCCTTTCCTTTCCTTTCCTTTCCGGCGCTGCCATCGGGCCGATTGCGGAATGCTCAATTGGGTCTAGCTGTTGCGGCTGAGTCTCGCTATTTCCTCCAATCAACGCTCGTTGCTGCTCGGCTCGGAGTCGCGAGTAATTCCGTCCCGGAGTCTCTACGTGCCGCCGGTGAGTGTTTCTCATCATGGGTGTACGCTGCTGTGTACTCTGGAGGTAGCATTGATTGTCGACATTATCACTGCTGGAGCTGGCTTGTTCGCTTAGATTCTCTCCATGCTCCTGGGTTCTAATCCACATCTGGCTTTTTTCTCCACTCCAATTTCGGGCTGGTCGTTTACTTTTCTTTGAAGGAGAATCGGTCCTTGTCGAGAGGACAGCGGCACGGTGACTTCCCAAAAAGGAAATACGCGGCACTACCACTTGCCTTTGCTACAATGCCCATCATCTTCGTCCGACTTTTACAGTCGAGAAGGACTTACATTCGATGCAGAGAATCTATATTCCATACTTAGCATTCATCCATCCTTGGTTGTCTATGTTTAGGTTTTGGTATGCTTAATGCACTAAAAGAAGCTGGCCCTCGAAATTCTTCTGGGTGGCTTGCTCGACTCACTGTACCGCCAGAACGACGGTTTCGGCGGACCCCTGATAAGACACCTTCCAAAACACCACTTGCCTCCAACGTCTCTCGGAAGAGTGTGACCTTGTTCCGATTGCCTGTGCTTCGTAAGCCTAAGTATTACGAACCCCAGCTCCACCAGATGCTGAGGAATCTGGACAAAGAAAGGGCAACTTGGCCAGGGAAATGAGGCGGCCTCGCTTCTGAGACGATCTTATGCTGTACTAAACTCTCCCCAGGCTGGCGAATCAGGCTGTCTATCTTGAGACAAGGAACAAAGAACTCGCGATGAAACATCACACTTAGAGTTCCGAGCCCTCGCAAAGCCGAATCTACGATACGGACCGCTTATTCTTCAGCGTAGTCCAAGGCCAATGAGTACGGAGCTCAGCACACTCACAGAAGGTGTAGGCCAGAGCTGAATGCGAAAAGCTACGCCCTCCCTCCTTCGCCAGGACTTCACCCGTAATGGGGGATAAGAATAGAAACTCGTGTTAAACGACGAGTTAATCTACAGATCTAAAGAGAAGAATTTTCTTTCTTTTTTCGAGCTAATGCTTAATGCAAAAAGCATACAGGAAGGGCTTTGATCCAGAATGCCAAATCCTTCTGTCCACGCATTGTTACGGGGGGTGTGCATTCTTCCCAGGCCCAGCATTCCAATGTTCAGGACAACCAGCTCACCAACGGTAGCTCATTGAGTACCCGAAGATCATTAGCTCCACCATGCGGGAAGAGCGTGGAGCAAAGGTTCGGTCGGGGTAATTTAGTGCAAATCATTGAGGCTGCTATCCTACGTATACGACTCAGGATGAGCCAAAGCAACCCAATGACGCTTACACTCCAGGTGTCAGTCAGCCCGTTGAGCCCCCTCTCCACGTCGTCCCTTGACGCGTCGAGCCGTCGAAGCCGGTCGACCTCCATTGTGACACTCATAGTTCGATCCAGCCTCGACATCGATTATCAAACAATGGCGAGGTTGGTGTCATTGGCTCAGCGCTCGCTGGTTCCTCTAAGACCCGCCCATATCCGCCCTGCTGATACCTCTGCACCCTGTTTCTGGCATAGTAAAGGTTGCATTCCCGCGGGTGGCCATCAGTGCTCCGAGCCCACTGGGTGAAGGGTGTCTGGCAGTGGATGGCACGAATCAGCCACCGACTTTGCACCCCTCCTGATTGGCGACAATGGCTTGTGGGAAAGGCATGGGCCGTTCTGCTCGAGCAATTGGGATGGGGTGGGCCATATCGAGGGGCTGCGTATTCCTTGATGGCACATTCCCTGCCTATCTTGCCCTTGTTGAGAGCTCTTGGAATGTGCACAGAATCCAGCGGAGAATCCAGAGGCTGGGGCCCATCGTAGCAATTCAAATAGGAGCCCTCTGTCTGTTGTTTGTTTGCTTTGTCTACTTTGCATTTTCTGCACTGTTTTCTTCGATTGTCAACTCGTCAAACTGTTCCAACACTGCCAGTGCATTCCATCATCACTTCGAGCCATCGTCATCACCGCGGCCATTTTGGACGGATACTCGGCTAAGCTAGCCGTCCCTTACTTTGCGTCAAGCTTTCCTCTGCATCAAGCTTCTGTGCTTCCGCGGCCTTCGTCGCCAGTCATATCTACTCGGCCCAAGTGTTCGTTGGGTCGACCTTAGACAGCTCCTCTGGTCGTCGCCGCAAACGGAAAGCGGCACCCCGTCTGGCACAATGTTCGCCCAGCAGTTCGACCATTCCTTGAATGATTTAGATTTATTTAATCAGTACGTCAATATGGACAACTCCAGTGTGGATGGCAACAAAGATGTTTCATTCCCTGGCGATCTTGACCAAATATTTCAGCTTGAGTCATTGTCCAGCGACTGTGGCGAGCACTCTCCGGCCATCTCCACATCAACAGCGCAACCCCATCAGCAAACAGCCCAAAATTGGAGCAAAGACTTCTGGTGTTTGTCCCAGAACGCGGACTCTTCTACCAGCCAAGGCCAAAATTTCTCTCTACAAGACACTGTTCACCCATCTGCCGTTTCTGAGCTTGGTGTCAACTTTGAAGCTCCGCCGACAGCGTGCGCTCCGGAAACCCGCCCTTCTCCGTCGACTCCCCCAGCAACTCCTAGTCGTAAGACCACCAAGAGTGCTGTGACTACGCCCAAGGTGATCCGTCGTCATCGCGAACCTAATGATCGTCGTGGTCCGCTGCACAAGCAGAGCTTCTCTCCTGGCATAACACGCTCCTCTCAACCTCAACGGAACAGAATGGCGTATCAAGAAGCCTGGGCGCAGCGATTCAACAACTTCAGCTTTCGCAGCTCGGATGAACGCTTGCCTCTGTCCCCACCACCTTCCGATATCCTCGTTCAACAGGAGAATATGGCAGCAGACAACTCTGCTGCCCACTTGAACCGCACCGAATCACTACCCAAGGCATCAGCTGAAATGCCTCCCCAATATGACACCGGCATCTTCAACCAATCGCCGGCTATCTCCATGCCTTCTCCATCAACAGCTGCGCTAGCGGGGCAGCCCCCGAGATATTTAAGCCAGTCCAGCGGCTCGGGGTTGCCCACCTCAAGCCCCCCGTCGGCTGACGACATCTTCTCTTCCCCACATTCTTCAGGCCCTCAGTCCATGTCTTCCTGGCATTCCGACTCTCTTGGCTCTTCTGGGATTCCGTACAGCACCCCCGACCTGAGTGGACAAGATGGCCAAGCATGGTGGTCGCCAATGGCTTCGAGAGTCCCACAGCGACAGCCTTCGTATCAGCAGATGGTGGCGTCTCCAGCTGCACAGAGACCGATCCAGAACTCTGCAAGTCAAAGTGACATGCTGCAAGGGGGCCTTATGATTCAACTGGACCCGTCGTCATACGATCTTTCCAACACACATTCGTCATTCCCCTCGGCCGGCCTGCCTTCCGCTCCAAATGGTCATGAGAGCCGCGCCTACATGCAGCCCACTGCAGCACCAGTGGATTCATCGTCATTCGTCACCCCTCAGATTCCCCCTTCCCATTCACGCTCTCCATCGCTGTCTCCGGGCTCAGGCTCACCAAAGAGTGGAAGCATGATGCACAATGGCCACCGGAGGTCATTTCAGCGCCAGAGTATGAACCGAAAGCTTTCCTCCAATTCTATGAGCGCACCCAAACCAGTCAAGGCCCCCCACAGTTCATCGGGGAGTCCAAAGGGAGGCAACAAGGCCGTCACCGTATCCTTCGTGAATTTCACACAAAATGATTCCAAGAGGATCCTCACCGGTGTCGCACCCAGTGGCAGCTCCAAGACTAAGGCACGACGTGAGCAAGAAGCCCGCGCTCGACGCCGCGAAATCAGCGAAGCTGCCTTGCAAGCCGTCCGGAGTGCCGGAGGAGATGTTGAAGCTCTGGAGGCAATTCTATGCTAATATCATATGTAATAGTAATACTCACATGTCGATCCAGTGCATCACTCGTTTGCCAGTATCCGTTTATTCGTCGTCATTTGTGTTCTGCGGCTAGCCAGTTTCTTTGAATGTTCGTTATACCATTCCAGAGTCTGTTGTTATTATTCTTTCATTTTCCTGTTTGTTTCATTTCTCGATACAAGGCAACGGTCGTTTGGGTGTTCGTCTGATCATCACTTTTTTCTTTTTGAGCCGAAAAGGATTTGGAGTTTGATTTCATCAAAAGCGTTAGATTGGCGGGCATTCAGGTTCCATCAACCTCATACTAGTTGGATATAATATATACCACTAATATTGCATTCTTGAAAATTGTGTTTGCACAGAAGCGAGTGATCTGTATACATGCAGCTAGGTGGCGACACAAAAGAAATCAAGCACCATGATTTTTGACATACCTGTACATTCTATAGAACCGGCCTGATCATTATTTGCCTACGGCAACCTGGTAGAAAATTCCAATGAAAATGATGTACATAGTTCATTCATAATACAGTAATAGTTCGTAATATACAAGAGTTGGGGGTCCTTTAAGCCAAAGCTCCAGATAGCCGAGTACCATGTGAGACATCCCAACCCGTCACTGATCACCAGAAAAATGTGATGTCTCTTATCGACAGATACTGTTTCGCAACTGTCTGTAATGTTGCTCCAACGACACTAACGAAACACAGCCAATCAGCTTCTCTCTCCGTATGTCTGGCGTGTTCCGCATTTCGGGAACGGATGGCAACCTGGCAAGGCAACCCCAGATATGCCTATTTTAGAGGTGACGAGTCTGACATATGTGTTTCAGATTGAAGCGAGAGAATGGAGGCCCAAGTACGGAGTAGTCAAGCCAAGCTGCATTTCTCCACCTCCTTCCCTACAGACACCTCGCTCACTCATCTCTTCGACGCAGTCGGGCTCCACGAATCGGGCTGCCACTTCTGACCCGGAGCGCCTGCCGCCGCCTTCGCCCAGGGGTCATTCTTCTTCGTAGCCTCCGCGGTTGCCGTCTGCGTATCCTCCGAAGGGCTCTTGTTTGCTTGGGCTACTGTCGCATCACTCGTGTTGGTGGCGGGGAGCGGTTGTTGTTGGGATTTGGGCATATCCAGATATGATGGTTTGCTGGCCCAGCGCTCATCGGCCAGACGGGCTAATTCCTTAATTTGCATTTGTCGGATGATGTCTTGTTGTTGTTCTTGGATGGACGGGGGGTCTGCGCGGACGTAACGGAGCCATTGGTGCCATTGTGCTGTAGTTACCGGGGGTACGGTATTAGCTGCTGCTGTTGGGGATACGCTATGAGAGACCTGAAGGTGCCACTTACGGCTCACTTGGACATCGGCGAGGTGGGTTTTTGGATCGGTCTTGACGATGCGGCGGAAGCGGCCGGCGTTGAGTTGGTCCTTGAATTCCCAGAAGGTGTTTCCGTGTAGGTCGGTGCCTGAGGAAGAGGTGTTAGGAGGGTTTCTGGGGAGCTATATATTGAGGATGGCAGATGAGCTTACCGACGAGGAACGACCTGCGCCAGGGTAGGCGAAGGCCCTTCCACTTGAACCAAAGACTGTTGATCGGACTCATTGGGAGATTGAAGTGAGAATGGTGGTCGATCGGAGGCTATGCGATCTAGATTGAGGCAGTGCAGTGGTGGTGGAGTGGCGCGGAGAAAGAGGAAGATGATGTTCCGATCATCGAAATGATGAAGCCGAGATGAATTGAAGCGGCGATGATTGGGCGATAATTGACACCCGAAATATCAGGCATATGGGACGTCATCGGTAAGATTGAGCGGTCACGGGGCGTCAAATACGGTATTGTTCTGGGCGTTTCTTTTCTATTTCGGGCTTCGAGTGTTCGATTTCCATTCCACGCCGCATTCCGTTCGCCCTCCAACTTTGGCTTCGTTGCTTTTGTTTTGTCTCTGCCTCTTCGGTTAATCTGCTGCATTGATCTCTCATAATACCCCGGTGATATGTCTTCTTCATCCCTTCCTCTTCTCTTCATCTAGACCCCGAATTGATCTTCCGATTCATCCGCCCTCACATAAGCCTCCACCCCCCTCCTGAACCCCTGTGACGTACTGCCGGTTCGTCCCACCGGAAAGCCACTATAAACACCCACTCCCCCTTATTCTTTTCCGTATATTTTTGCGCCCAAGCTGCCTAACGGTCCTTTAAATTCGTCTGCATGTCCCAAACGCTCTGATTGAGACTGTTCGACCTTCAAGATGGCCTCCGTCACCTCGCTTGACAAGGACTTGCGCAGTCTGCGCTTGTCCCGCTATACCCCGCAGGCAGCCGCGGAAGTCCGCGACTGGATCGAGGAAGTGTTACACGAAAAGCTCCCACCAGGAGATCTCCTGGATGCTTTGAAAGATGGCGTTGCACTCTGCAGGTGAGGATTTCATGAGTTTCCCTCAAAGACGCCGCCATTCAAGAACACTAACAATATTGCAGGCTGGTCAACTTGGCCGTCTCCCCCGGCGTCAAGTACAAGCAGTCCTCTATGCCGTTCGTGCAAATGGAGAACATCTCTCACTTCCTTCGCGCATGCCAAATGCAGCCCATCAGCCTCCCTCCGCACGATGTCTTCCTGACCGTCGATCTCTACGAAGCCAAGGACCCCGCACAAGTCCTACAATGTCTTACGTCTTTCAGTCGTCGGGCCAATGCTCTCCAGCCTAGCAAGTTCCCTCGCGCACTCGGTCCTCAAAGCAAGGCAGCCACTCTGAGCCCGCATGCCACCGGTTCCAGTCAAGGCGCTTATACCCCCACCAAGTCGAGTGTATCCGGTCACTCCAGCCCGGCAAGATCCCCGAAGCCAGTCAGCAGCTGGAGTAAGAAGTCTGATGAGTTTGTCACGGCCCCCGCCTGGAATATTCATCAGTACGGTTATATGGGTGGTGCAAACCAGGGTAGCATGGGCGTTGCCTTTGGTGCACGTCGGCAGATCACCACCGCTGCCCCGCGTGTCCCCAGCTTGGCGGAGAAAGAAAAGCGGAGAAAGGAGGAAGAAGAACGGCAAGTTTTGGAAAAGCAGGAAGCAGAGCGCCAGCGCCAGCAGGAGCGCGAAGCGGAAGAGGAGCGTGCTCGCATCGAGGAAGAGCGCCGCTGGGAGGAGGAAACCAACCGTCTGAGGGAGCAAGAGCGGCGTCAAGTCGAGGAGGAGCGCAAGCGTTGGGACGCGCAACAGCGCAAATGGGAAGAAGAGGAACGGCAACGCCTGCGTGAAGAAAAAGAAACGGAAGATAGGCTAGAACGCGAGCGACTTCAACGACGAGAGGCGCAAGACAGCCGTCTCAACGGACAGTTCCTCAGCCAGTACCAAGCCAGTCTACCAGCAGCATCTCCCGTTCCCCCAGTCTCCAGCGAGAACCGCGAGAGACAACGAATTCGCGAGCTCGAGCGCGAGCTAGAACGCGCCAAGGAGAGAGAACGCCAATATGAGCGTGAACGTCAAGACATCCAAGAACGGGCCACCAAATCGCCGCCTCGCAGTCCCCGGCCAGCCCAGCCCAGCTACGACCTATCTTCCCTCGAGCAAGAGCGTCGCATGCTACGCACCGAATGGCAAAAGCACCACGACGAGCCACTCACAGAATCAGACATCCCCCCAAGCATGCCTCCGAGACCCCTCCCAGAGCCCGTCATCTCCGCTGAGGACAAACCATCCACGCCCCCTCGCCCCTTGCCCGACCCCACCGGAGCGAAGCCCCCTATGCCTCCACGACCCCTCCCCGATCCCACAAGCTACACCCCTCCATCCCAAAGCCCCTACACACAAGAGAGCCGGGTCGACCGATTCCTCGCTTCCAACCGACCCCCTGTTGCCCCGAAGCCCGCCGCCCACCGGCCCCAAGACTACACCACCACAGCGGAAGTAGACGCCGAGAATAGCCGTCGCGCCGCCGCTCAAGAGAAGACCAAGGCCGGTGGCTGGGCTTCCAAGTCCCTTCTGGAACGCGAGATGGAGCGCGAACGGGAACGTCAGCGCGAGTGGGAGGAAAACCAGCGCCAGACACAGGAGGCAGCAGCTAGGGCTGGGTCTTCTATTGCGGGCGCTAAGCGGCAGATTATTGGGCCGAGGCCACCTCCGTAGATATAAAGTGGAGTGTGCCCTTTTCATAGTTCGCCCTTTTTTTCACCCCCTTTATCTATTTTGTGTCTGCCTGTCTGGTTTTTAGTTTGTCTCCCCTGTATTGTGAATATACCCTTTTCTTTTGCCTCCCTTCTTATTCCCCTCGCACTGCTTGGTGCGGTGGTGTGTGGAACTGCGAAGTTTGCTTGGTTTGCGTGGTCTAAAATATATTTCTGTTCGGGAAAAGAAAAAATCAACTTAAAGGGATTGAATTCAAATGTAAATAAATGAATAAGTAATCTCAGGTAAAATCCGATAGACAAATTTTAAGTTCAGAGTCACTTTGATGTCAGTTTCAACTAAAAAGGGTATTTGTACTATCTATACATTAAGGAATTATGGCCGAAAGCCTGTCTCAAGACAGTATGAGAGTCGACGAGCGAAACAAAAGTTATACCGAACCAAAGAAGGAAAAAAAGAAAGAAAATAATAAAAAAACATATTGACGCGCTTGCCTTTAATCGCTCACTCCAATCACACACGCATGCAAATAGAATGAAGAAGAAGAGACATTTCAATAACTCAAGCATCATGCAGTAGTGGCATCACCCTCGAACGGCAGAATACAAAGCACGAGAAATTGCAACCGCTCCGCACTCTCCTCCAACCACGCACGCTCCATATCATCCGCCCACCTGTAAGCTTCCTGGACATGTTTCCGCGATTGGTATTCGGACCGGTCGAATCGACGATTAACGCCCCTATGAACAGCTTCTCGCAGACTTTTCGTGACGCGTAGCATGCCGTTATCGGCGAGAAGGATGATCAGTGACTCTAGGATGATGGAGATTTTGGTGTTATCGGCTATGAATTTTGTGCTGGCCGCGTAAGGCAGGAAACATTGTTCCAGCTTCGCTTGGTTGAGATATTCCTCGTCGGTGTCGGGGGCGGCGGTCTCGCGCATGCGAAAGAGAAGAAACTCGCAGAGGGTGGTTTTGGCAGGGCCGGAGAGGTAGGGGAGGGTGGAGGGGCTGATGAAGGCCTGGAAGACAGGAAGGGGCAGGTGACGAATGTTTTCGGCGTAGAGGTGGTAGAGGTCTTCGAGGGGGATGAAGTCGTCGGGGAGGTACTGGGAGACTGTGGATAGGAGTTGTAGGAGTCGTTGTCGGAGACCGAGCGAGCGCATGCCTCCGTAGAAGCCGACGTCGCCGTGCATGTAGGGGATGTGTCTTGTGGGGAGCTCTTCGATGGGCACACGAGCGCCAGTGCTTGGGGCAGAGCCGCCGTATGGGCCGGGGGGTGTATTGATGCCGTTGGGGCCTATGGCGAGTGATTTGCCTCTGCGCTTGGGCTGGGGTGCGCGCCGAGGGGTGGGTTTTTCTCGAGAGCGTTTGGACCTGCTGGTGGTTGAAACAGACGGATATGCTTCCTCGTCGGAATTGGCGTCCGTCTCATTGATATCCTTGTTTTCATCGTCATAGTCTCCATCCTCGATCGGATCATCGTCCGTGAGGTAGTCGCCGAACTCGTTCTCATCGATGTTGACCTGCGCGCTGCGCTTTCTGCTGGTGGAGGTGTGAGCTTTTGCGTATTTGAGTTCATTTTCGAAGACTTCGCGAAACTCGTTGCGAGAGGTCGAGCCACCGTCTGCAAAGATGGAGCGAACAATGCGCCGGTATGGACCGTACGTGGTGCTAGCTCCGTGAATGTAACGGAATATGAGGCTTTCTCTGAGAACCTGGAGGGCTGGGTCATCGTCATGATGCGTTTTCTTCCTTCGGGACTTCTTCGGGGACGGCGGTGGTCCCTGTTCACTAATGGTGTTTCCGGTGTGAGCCTCCTTATACTGTCGAAATTGTTCGTTCCAATCACTTTCTAGAACATCACACATGTATTCAAGCCAGACCTGCCACCACGTCCAGCGGGGCCGATGGCGAACAGAACAGTTAAACGCCCAGCCAACGACATGCCAAAAGTCTTCTGCGTTGGACCACAGGGAAAGCGACTGGCCGAGATCTAAGTTCAAGGGTTTCGTATCATCGGAAGACAGGTCAGAGGGTGGGGGGATATTCTCTGTCACGGGACGTCGTCTTGTATGGCGGGGGGAATCGGGGAGATTAAAAGAGAATGCGACGTTTAGTTTCGAGGAGATGGGCCCGACGAGGGTATTGGTCAGTCGGAGCAGACGCAGTGCGGCCAGGGGTGCTTCTTCCTCCTCGGTTGTTTTTGCGCGCGTAGTGGTGGAGGGGTGTATGAGGAGAGTTGCGGCTAGGGCGAGTTGCTGGACGGGTGGAGTATATACTGGCGCTGAGGCAACGGTACCGGATGTGAGGATATTCAGTAGGAAATTGATAGCTTGTGTATCTAAATCGGGAGGTCAGATGTGGACAAAGAAGAAATAGTGATGCGGAGGAAACGGACAGAGTCTCTCTTCAAAGAAGATGGCTGCATGTTGAGCTAGCTCGAATGGAATGGGTTTGGTGGGTCGATGAACAGGCAGATCCGCCTCTAGCGGTTCTAAAGCGGCCATAGAAGATGGGAGTGAAGGGAGAGGTAAAGAAATGAAGAGGATGTGGAGAAGATGAGGGCGAGATGGAGATGGAATGGAAATGGAAATGGCGGAGCGATAAAGAAAGCGACGCGATGCTTATCGATAAACCTAGCCGGGGCAGCACGTGTGCCAGCCAATCAGATGCGGTGCCTGACAATGCGGGCCACAATCAGGCAGTCCACACTGCGAGACCAACTCGGTTTGTTCCCTACTGTTTGCAACAGAGAAATGAAAGGTTGGTTGAAATGGACGGGATATACCAGGTATCCTGAGCGTTAGCCTGAAACTTCCTGAGCTGCGGAGAGTTGATGATTGCTAACTTATAGAATATCATGCATAAAAAGAAAACAACTTTCAGCAAATCAGGGTGCTGTAGTGTAGTGGTCATCATGAAACGTTGTGGTTTTCCGCAGCGCCGTTTCGACCTGGGTTCGATTCCCAGCAGCGCCAACAATTGGCGTTTGAGCCTGATCTGCTTTCTTTTTTCTTTTTGTGCGATACAACTTTATTTATCGCTCTATTTCATTCTAAACCCTGTTCTTTGTCTACGGCGGCCACAATATGAAAGACCTTTATCTGCTTTCAATTCTGATACCGTGCTACATTCATCAGTGGCTCTCTTCCATTGCTACATTCAAGCCACCGAGTCTCTGTGGGCAAAGGGACCGAGATACGTAGTATTCCGCATGAATCGTCATCACCATATTAATATACAAGTTACTATGCAGTCTCATCGGGGTAGTAGTAGTCTATACAGCAACTAATGAATATTAGGTAGTTGTACTCTATGATTACTCCATGTATTAGTGGTACGAGTGGTTGGTGTGTCTGAATACCTTCCTGATCATATATAGAAGGGCTACACCACTACACCGAAGGATAGTGAAAAGGCATATGGCAGCTAATCACGAAAACCAGAAGGGATAAGCAACGAGCATTTCATAGAGCTAAGTGGTACTCTTTAAAGTCATTTGCACTAAAGTCAGTTAGTAACCTGTGGTGTAATTAGTGGCTGGCTATTCCCATGGATCCGACGCTCGGACGGAACACCGTAGGAGCACAAGTGCGATGAATTCCCAAGTTACCCATTCGACAGACAATCATACTATCCAGGAAGAATCCCAAGCCTACTTCTGTTCCACCATAGCACAAGACAGGGAGCTGGGTTCTGCAGCAGATTAGTCGTCCTAGCACAATTCGTGGATTAGCAAGCATACTGGCTATCTTGCCCAGCACCACCCTGGAGAGCCACCGTCCGTTAGGTCACATGGATGGAAAATATGACCAGACACCACTATCTGAACGGCAAGTCAGACAGAATCTTCTTGAATAGACCTTGGGCAGTCCCACGGATCATCCACAGCCACTTTCCCAACAAGCCCGACTGTCCAGGAACATGAAGCTATACTCCTTTCGCTCGGGCCCGAACAAAGTTTGGCCGAAGTACCCACACCCCGTGCCACGAAAAGCTTGACCTGAGCCAATCGTTTGAGGGTTCACGTTCCCAGCATCATTCGTATCGTCCTCTTTTTTTTTTCGTTTGCCGAGTGTATGTACCCCCAAAATGAATGCTTCTATAGCAGTAGTGGGGACAACATATGGCAGGGATGAATCCCCCCCGCGCCCCCTTGAAACCTGTGCGCAATGTCGGCGAAGTTTGGATGAACCTTCCAGTTGATGCCCCGCGTACCTCGTATGCAGTGGGTGATACAAGCCAGAAAGGCAGGGAGCTGCGCGCGAGCCGTCCGGTAGACGATCCGCATTCCCATTGGTGATCTCGGCAATCGAACGGGATTCAACCATCTCAGGGTGCACAATACGAAGTCACTGGAGCCAGATGGCAGCCATTCACTGACAATATCCAGATAGAGATTGGCTTCGTAGTATGCTCGAGGTCCACACCATTAATTTAGCTGGTCTGAACGATGCTCCGTAGGTCTGATTGGAGGGGCGTAGTCTAGTTATCGGATGTCTCACTTGAGACTCGACTCACCACCGCAAAAAAACCCTGGCATTTCCGGCGGGATTGATAATTGACCCGCATATCCCACAGACCCAATAACTAACCAGATTTTCCGCCATAGGCGCATTTCTCTCAACCAGCACGTGTGTTTGGGGTGGTTGATGATTGGAGCTATGTCTCAATCTGGTCATGATGAGCGGACCGATACCCAATTTGATCGGCTTGTTGGACGTGGGGTGATAAACAAGATTGACCACGGTGAGGGTGAAAATCCTCCATTCCCACCTCGCATCACCCCAATAGCAATCATACCATACCTGATGCATGTGTCATACACGGTATGGTAAGATGAAACCTGTAAAAAAATTTCATTTTACGGCGAGGGGTAAGATAGACGGATGTGGCTCGAAGAAAAAAAAGCGGAAGAAACCCACCAAGCGAGTGAATACTTATCAATCAGCGGATCTCGTATTCCGAGAGATGATCTGATAAAATAAATTTTGTTGTCGCGTGTGTTTGTATTGCGTTCATAGGGCCAACCTTCTTCCATTCGTCGTCAATATGGGCAATAATCCGGTCTTTGCTGTCACTGGTAGGTTCATCGCAACATAACCGATAATCGTGAAGTGATAGGTTACTGATTGCGACCAGTGTTCTTCATCTGCTTCCGAGAATGCCTGGAAACAAGCGTGGTTGTGTCTGTGCTGTTGGCTTTCTTGAAGCAGACTCTCGGAAATGACGGGGGCGATACGTATAAGCGACTCGTGAGACAGGTAAGTGCACTCACGGCTTCAACATGTCATTATCGCTGAATTTGATTGCTGATGATTGTCTCGTCCACACCAGGTCTGGCTAGGATGCGCACTCGGACTATTCATCTGCCTCTGCGTCGGCGCAGGCATGATTGGGGCCTTTTACGGCCTAGGCACGGACACGTTCTCTAGCACCGAAGATATCTGGGAGGGTGTCCTAGGAATTTTAGCATCTCTCATCATTGCGGTCATGGGAGCAGCCCTATTGCGAGTGTCAAAACTCCAGGAGAAATGGCGGGTTAAGCTCACCAAGGCTCTTCAGCACCACCGCAACACCAACACCTCGCGTAAGGGCCGTGTGAAGATGTGGCTCGAGAAATACGTCATGTTTATCTTGCCATTCATCACCGTACTTCGTGAAGGACTGGAGGCAGTGGTGTATGTTGGTGGTGTTGGATTGGGATTGCCGGCTACCTCTTTCCCTTTGGCGGTAGTGGTCGGTCTCATTGCAGGCTGCTTAGTCGGATATCTGATTTATCGGTAAGTGAACCAAGCACCGTTACTCGCTAGATGACACAAGCTAATGCAGACATCGCATGTTATAGAGGAGGCAGCGAATCGACCATGCAATTTTTCTTAATTGTCTCGACCTGCTTCCTTTACTTGGTAGCCGCGGGCTTATTCTCCCGCGGTGTATGGTACTTCCAAAACCACGCATGGAACAGTATCATTGGCGGGGATGCCTCCGAAACGGGATCAGGCCCTGGGTCTTATGACATCCGACAGAGCATCTGGCACGTTAACTGCTGCAACCCCGAGTTGGGAGGTGGCGGCGGATGGGGCATTTTCAACGCCTTGCTGGGATGGACTAACTCAGCCACATACGGATCCGTTATCGGCTATAACCTATTCTGGCTCGGCGTGATGCTCGCCTATGCTGCGATGCTGTATCGGGAGCGGCGTGGTGCAATCCCCGTTATTGACCCGATGATTGCGCGCTACCAGGCGTTCAAGGCCCGGGTGATAGCAACCATTCTTCGTCGGCCAGTGGAAGAAGAGAACGTTGAGCCGGTGGAGCAGTCGGGGATTTTTGCAGAGAGTGGCAAGGCGAAGGAGACTGGTGCCGGAGGGCCCATGTCTGTGAGGGAAGCGGAGGTTAGGGCTGCGTAGCGATAGACCGATGTGCTAGACTAGAACTGCTAGTATACACAACGGAGCGGGGGTTTTCTCATTGAACCGCGTCATGTGGGTAATGTAAGTAGATTATGTTTGTAATCGCATCTGGCGGCTTTCTGGTTCCTTAACGAAACAAGAAAATTAATAGGCGCCAGTTCCGCAAAATGCAGAGGAAGACCGGATAATACTGCGTAGTAAGTGAAAGTAGGGCAATCGCAATTAAATCATACAACACATTACCGCAATAATACTAGCGCAATACCCGCTCTTGGCGCGACCGGGCCCAGCATCAGATAAGCCAACGCCCAGACAAATTGATAAGATCGGGGGCACACGACACCATCTGCTCGCTTGCAAATGACGAGGAAAAGAAAATCTCTGTTCGACTGCCATCTTTAAGCCATTTCATTGTCGGAGATATTATAGCCAAGCCATGCCAAGTCGGCGTTCTCTACCTGAACTGGGGATCAAGCTATTGTGGGACTGGATGCTGGGTGGGACTCCGAGAAATCTACCAGTTCGGGCGATGGTGGAAAACCGTTCCTCACGTACAGCCCAGTATTCGGTAGTACTAGTCAATATCAGATGGGCTATCTGATTCGTCTCAGGCCTCGCATTCGTGGATGGCTCCTCCTCATTTTACCTTCATCCGGCGGCCCGACTGATTGATAAGTGGGATGATTGATCCATAGTATCTAGTAGTCATACTAGTCATTTAATTCATCTTACCTTTTTACTTTTCTCTCGCGTACTCCACCCTGCCAACTGAAACCCCCAAAGGGCCTCCAGCCCAGGGTATATAGAACCCCCAACGTAGAACCTTCCCCCCTTCCCTATTTCTCTTTCCTTCTTTGTCCGAGCAAATCCCCTCCCTCTCGTCCTTCATCGTCCGCCCTTTCATCCCGGACAGGACAGACAGACAAGACAAGATGGCCTTCCCCAGCCGTCTTCTCCCCTGGCTCGCCGCCACCATCTTCTTCTTCATCGCCCAATGCCAGGCCAAAACCGTGACCTATGACTGGAATGTCACTTGGGTGACCGCCAACCCAGACGGCCTGGCCGATCGCCAAGTCGTCGGCATCAACAATGAATGGCCCCTGCCCATCATCGAGGTCGACAAGGGCGACCGCATCGTAGTGAACATGCACAATGGACTCGGCGACAAGAGCGCTTCAATCCATTTCCACGGCATGTACCAAACCAACACCACGGAAATGGACGGCCCATCCATGTTGACTCAATGTCCTGTGCCGCCGGGCAGCTCCATCACGTACAACTTCACCGTCAACCAGAACGGCACGTACTGGTACCACTGCCACACCGACTACTGCTACCCAGACGGTTACCGCCAGGCCCTCATCGTGCACGACAACTCCTCCTACTTCGCCGACAAGTACGACGAGGACCTCACCATCACCATGACAGACTGGTACCACGAACTGACCGAGACCATTGCCCCGACCTTCATCACTGTCGAGAACCCCACCGGCGCTGAGCCCATCCCGGACTCCTTCCTCTTCAACGACACCCTCAACAGCAAAATCCCCGTTGAAGCAGGAAAAACCTACCTCTTCCGTTTCATCAACATCGGCGCCTTCGTCGCCCAGTACATCTACATAGAAGACCACACCATGCGCATCGTCGAAGTCGACGGCATCTACACCGACGAGGCCGAAGCAGACATCCTCTACATCTCCGCCGCACAGCGCTACACCGTCCTGGTGACAATGAAGAACTCCACGGAGAAGAACTACCCCATCGTCATGGTCGCCGACTCCCAACTGCTCGACACCATCCCCTCAGACCTGCAACTCAACCAGACCAACTGGCTCGAGTACAACTCCAGCGCCCCGTTCGAGCAAGCCGTCATGACCGTCTCCGACTGCTCAGATCTCAACCCCTACGACGACATGGCCCTTGTCCCCCATGATAGAATGCCCCTTCTCGAGAACCCTGACGTCTCCCTCGATCTCACTGTCACCATGCAAAACCTCGACGACGGCGCCGACTACGCCTTCCTCAACGACATCTCCTACACCGCTCCCAAAGTCCCCGCCTTGTACACCGTCATGTCCGCGGGTGACCAGGCCACAGACGCCACTGTCTACGGCGACTACACGCACTCCGTCGTGCTGGAGAGGGACCAAATCGTCGAGATCATTCTCAACAACGGCGACACGGGTACCCACCCATTCCATCTTCACGGTCATGCTTTCCAGATGATCGATCGGTACCCGCCGTATGGACCTCATTTCTATGACTACGCCGACGGCGACCCGATCACCTACAATGCCTCGAACCACACTGCGTTCCCGGAGTACCCGCCCCGCAGAGATACCTTTGTGCTTCCGCCCCAGGGTTACTTCGTTGTGCGCTTCAAGGCCGATAACCCCGGTGTGTGGTTCTTCCATTGCCATATTGACTGGCACTTGGCGCAGGGTCTGGCTATGGTGTTCATTGAGGCCCCCTTGGCCATTCAGTCTAGCGTTACTATCCCCCAGCAGCATTATGAGGTTTGTGAGGCGGCGGGTATCGCTACGGCGGGTAATGCCGCCGGTAATACCGAGGATTATACCGATCTTACGGGCCAGAATAAGCAGGTTGCGTGGTTGCCTGGTGGTTTCACGGCTAGGGGTATTGTGGCTCTGGTGTTCTCGTGTGTGAGTGCTTTCTTGGGTATGGGCATGATTGCTTTCTATGGATTGTCGGATATTAAGAAGGGTGGAGGTCAGGTGCAGAATAGGAGGGAGGAGGTGAGAGAGCATGAGGATTAGTTGTTTTACTTTTATTTTTCTGTTTTGTTTGGATAAGGGGGTTTGAAGAAGATGCTCTGGTTTGCATCAGATACCCGATGATATAGATAGGATATAAAAGTATGTAATGTATTAGAAGTGTAAGGACTCTTGTTTATCGTCATCCTCGTAACTCGCAAATCCCACAAGACGCATAGAATCATTATAAGATGGAAAGGGTTATCCAGGTTCCGCACATGGCGGGATAGCGGTATGCATGGCCAGCATGGATTGTACCAATATAAGGAAGTCGGACTGCCTCCCCCACTCCTATGCCATCGATAGAAGCCAGCTGACGATATACTCATTGCCGTGTCTTGTAGTAGGTGGTCTGGCCAACCCTTACTGCCCGGTTTGATTTGTCTTTCTGGGAAAAGTGGACTCCTGGGCTACTAGATTGCCCGGCAATTCACCTAATGGTAACCGAGATGTTGGTTTTTGTCTTGCCCGAAATATTTCCCGTCTGCTGCCAGAGTTTTTTGGAGGCGACTCAAAGTCAATGATCACGAGGCCGCCAGTCTCTTCGTTCCAAAGTATATTGCGCCATTCTGGATCGCTATGAATGACACCGCAAGCACTGATCTGTTCCAAGACCTCATTGCGCTGCTCTCGGTAAGAAGGGGCAGTCTGCTCAGTCATAACCTTGTTCGCTCTAATACCTGCCCAGCTTAAAACAAGCATATGTGCCATCAACTGGCCGTGGTACCAGTACCGAACGCGCGGAGCGAAATCCCCCACGCATACTGGAACATGTGTGCCTTGAAGAGAGCGGAGATGATGGTAGGCTTTGACTTCTTGCCCGAGGCTTGGAAGCTGTTCGGCGCTAGTGGCCTTGAGAACCACAGTGTATCCATGGGATAATAAGGTGGCTTTCAAGAGGAAACCAGTCCTACCGACGATGTGTAGCTGCTCGAAACCAATTTCCCGATCGCGCGATAATTGATCAGACAGAAGACGCGTCAAATCACGAGCGTTGATCTTGTGGACTAGATGTCCGTGTCTTTGGACGTTCGGACATTGAGGATCCAGAGGGCCTTTCTTAGCCAAACCACGCAGGCATTTCATCGTGCAATACTGGTCTTGAATCGCGTTCTTTGGATTTTCGGCTCCTTTCGGCCTGCACCCGCTAGCTTCCTGGGATTCTCGCCCTCGTCCTCGTCGTCGTCCCCGCCCCCGCCCCCGCCCTCGGTCGCCTCGAGCCCTTCTAGAGGCATTATTAGGCGGCGGAGAAGGGGAAGGCGGGCTTGAAGAAGCTCCTGCTTCGTCTCCATGCCCATCCTTATCGCCAGTTCCTTGGCTTTTCCGTGACGGCTGGAAGTCAGGCTGACAACACCGTCGTAGCATATACGGAGACCGATCCACGGGTTTCCACGACGGGGGCTTATATACGGAAGACGGCGGCTCTTTGCGGACCGATTGCGGTATCTGTTTCAAAATATCCAGGTATTCGACTTCCCACGTGTCCAAATTGTCGGCTGCATTGTACCACGCCTGAGATGGACGATCAGCTTGCACGGCGTTGAGCATGAAGGCCAGAACCTGAGCAACTGCTGTTCGGTGTGGACGAAGCTCATCCCCGTCAGTGACATCCCGGTTGGGGACGAGCAAATAGTATTGCACAACCGAAGGATCTTCGGTGATCCGAAGGCAAATGAAGGCCTCCCCGGTGCAGATATAGCCGTGTTGGACTCCCACGTCTAGCATGTATGAGAAAAGCTGGGTGATTACTGCTGCCACGAGCCGAGTAGCATGGTATTCGAAGCTATCTCCATCCGTGTTAATGACATCTTTCTCCAAGTCCATCTCGTGGAGGCCGGCGAGTATTTCAGCCAGCGACAGCTTATGTGGAGCTTTGTGTTCGACAGCATACACGGGAACTCGTTGATCGTCTGATATTACATGGACGCAGAACTGGTCAGCACGACGGTTGCGTCGTCTCCGATGGATCGGCCGCTGTGCACTTCGTGCTCTGCCTCGGGTAGAAGGTACGTGTTGTACCGATTCTGCTATTCGGAGCTGTTGCATTGACGTTTCGAGTGGAGAGGTCATGTCATCGGCATTGTTATTGTCCTTGAAACTAAGATGTCCATGGAGTTTGAAGCGCCGACGAAGTCTGTCGTTTTTGTGTATCTCTTTCAGAACTGAATTTACGAATCTATCCACAGTGTCGCGTTGGAAGTATTGAAGATGAAGTTCGGACCTTATTGGTAGAATATCTTGCCGGATGAGATCCAGTTGACCCTTGGTCGCGAAAGCGCGATGCGTGGCAAAACCGGGGCCTTCTTTATCGAATGCTTCCCAGATGGCCACCTGAGAGGCAGGAAACCCTTCCCAAGGTACTAAGCGTTTAGGCCGTATTCTACTGACAGGATTTGTTGGGCCATCCTGAGTTGTTAAAGTTGCATCTGCCTCGACACGTATAGCAAGAGAAAGCTCATGGCATCTTCGAGAAGACCAAGAAGGGTGCTTGGTTCGACTCGCTGCTCTGCCTGGCGGAGTCTTTCCAACAATGTGTTCAAATCATGCTCCATGGCGCGAGCAAGAGAAGGTAATGGTATGTTGGTTGTGAATAGTCGTAGTAGTAATTATCCCTTCCGGGGCCGACAAGAACTTGCGGTACTGCTGACTAATTGTTGATAACGTAGAACGTGGGCGTGTGAAAGGAAGAAACAAACAACTGTTTCAGTCCACTTACAACCTGCAGTATGAGAGAGAAAAGCCAGAGAGGGCAGCACAAGTGATTGTCATTATCCTCTGGAGATGAGATGGAGTGGGTTAGTTATAGTAAGAACAAAGTCTCCACCTGGGGGGCTCAGGTTCTTTTCTAGGAGACCGCTTTCCCCGCTCTGCTGTGAACCTCTAGACTATATTACCCTTACTCACAACAGTGTGAATGTTGGGATATTCATCAATCATAGATCACTTCTCCATCATCTTCATTGGGGTTATAGACGCAGCAGACTGTTCCCAAGACTCATGTGGCCAGATAATCTAGTCGTCATCCAAATTGGGCACAGAATGCATTTCTTTTCACTCTGATGTTTTGCGTATCACTGGAATCACTATCTTACACTTCATATAACAGTTCCCGATCGTCAGAAGGAAATGGAGCCCTCGATGGGTGAGTAAACAATCTACATAACTCTTGCTATAGGACATGGCTGTGTACTCGATGAGTTGCTGGACCCTAATATGTACCGTGGGACTTTTACTTCAATTGAGGATTGCTGATCTCTTTCAGGGGAGATAACAGCAGGCCAAGGGACAGAAGTCTGACAAACCACTTCACTGTTTTTTGATGGACTTGTGGAGTAAGATATATATACCAGTATCATAGTAGGTTATCTCGGCTGTTCCCATGGCTATGGGATCGCGTAGATAGTAGAGTTGCATACTGCCAGCCAGACTCGAGTCTAATATGAGGCTTTAAATTACTCCGCTAAGATCACGCCATTAATGGCGGACTGCTGCCTACGGGCAGCCATATCAGGTCTACAGGTAGTACCACAGCATAAGGAATATCTTCTTATATAGAGTGTAGTGATGAGAAGAGAGTCCAGAACAATCAGACCGGCCTCGCCTTATCTTCATCTATTCCGCATACCCCATTCACGCCAGCACCTTTCTATAAACCGAACCACATTTTCCCCTTTTCCTTGCCCTCCTCCATTCTTTTCGTTTTCCGAAACAAGACCGACGGGTCCGTCTGCCCATTGCATGCCGAGATTTGAGACCCACGAAATCGAGCACGATAGAGAGATTTGGGATAAAGCAAGACGTTAAAGAACAGAGAGGCAAGGAAAAGAGACAGCGACGCCAAGCGGAGAATATTATCAAGAACGAGAAGTAGTAGTTTAGTAGTGAGAAGCAATAACACACAGGTTAAGTGTAAGGGAATAAAAGCAAGTAGATAAAGCCAAAAAGGAAACGGAAAGGAAAGAGGAAGAGAGAGAGCGGCTACTCTTCGGGTATATCAGAGAAGAGACCTATTCGCAGACGGTGCGACTAATCACAGCAGTTAGCAAGTGACTCACCAACCACATAAAGCAAGGACAGCAACATACAAACGGCAATTTCGGGATGACAACTCCCAGGGTTGCAAGGAAATTGATGGTGAAATACGTCAAGTCGTAGTGGGTATAATGTGTGCTGAGGAGGAAGAGACAAATGGGTACGCAGAGGAGGAACTTCTTCGTGGGGGTATACTGGTCTCCATTGTCGATCTGCTCCCACATGTTGAGGTTGTCGTACGCGCCGGCGTTGAATTCAAATGGGATGCCCCGCACCCAGTGGAACATGAGGAAAGAACCGAACATGTAGCTGATGTTGGTGAGCGTCCATGAGGTCTCCTGCGAGACGCCGGGAATGATGTCGAACAAGATCTTGAGGGCGATGATGAGAACGAAGTGAATGGTCCAGGCTCCTAGAAGGTAGTACAAAGTGGTCAGCCACTGGGGGTGTCATGGAAGTCATGGGGACATATGCTGGTGACAAGTCCCCGCCGGAACTCGAACCCCTCCTCCTGCAGCGACGGAGTGGTGATGATTGGGGGGGGAAATGGTGGAGATGGAGGTGGCCACTACTCACCCTTGGCGTTGACCCAGTTCGCATTCAAATTGGGCAGGGCAGCCTGGTCGCTGGTGTGCTCAATGGACTCGGGAGGCTCTTGGTAGATGATGCTACTCGACCGTCTCCTCCGTCCAGCTTTGCCCTGGGCCATGGTGGTGTCCGGGGTCAACCGGCGCGACGCAGCGTCGACGTCCGGGGGGAAGGAGATGGCACGGGGAACGATTAGGGAAGACACTTTGGCGGTATTGATCGGAGATCGAGCGAAGAGAAAGGGAGAATCAAGTGACAGGAATGAAGAAGAAATGGTCGTGAGAGAATGGCAGAGTGGTAAAAAGGACGCCGCGGGCGAGAGAACGAGAGAGCAAGCTGGCTGGAATACCGAGAGACTGGAGTGACTTCGACTGGGAGGCGATCTTGAAGACGATCGGCGGCGGTGTTGGTCACGGGAGCAGGTCTCCGTATTACCGGAACAGGGGGTAAATTACCGCCGGGCCAAAGAATGAAGTTTGGACCCTAAGATAATATAATATCACGAAAGAAAAAGCGAGTGGATGTCTTGCAGGATGAGAAAGGGAATAGAAAAAAAAGCTCAAACGAAAGGCAATGGAAGAGAAGAAAGAAAAAAAGTCAAAAAGAAAAAAAAAAAATAAATAAAAGAAGCCAGCAGTCCGACATCCCGAGGGGCAGCCGAGCAGATCCTCAACTTCAAACTAATTGTCGGCGTGGCTAAGAATAGCCGGGACGCTTGCTGCATCCCATCGTTCTAGATAGAGTCTAGACCACACCATCGCTGCACCAACCAAATGCCATTCCTGTCTGGGTTGATTCGAGACCTCAATTAATGATTATATTGCTATCTATGCTATCTATGAAGGGTTTTCTCCTATTCCATATTCCCTTTATTGGTTATCACGAACATATGAAATTTCACTGGGAGTGTCTGACTCAGGATGAGACTCAAGTGGATAAAGGCAATATACGATCCTTTCGTTGTTAGCATCTACCAAGAAAAATACTACGGTAAGTACTGGCTGAGAGCTTCTACTTAGGTTCGTCTAGTGTCCACACCAATTAGCTGCAGTGACCATATATCTACTGCTGAACAGCTTCAGAAGCCGGTAGCAACCATCTCAGTCTCAATGACTGAATCCTCCGTTTTGCTATCATCCAATAAGATGATAAACCATCTAATTGAATTGTCCACGTCCTGACAATCACTCATAAAATATTCCGACTCCGGTAATCCCGGAGCAGAAAAGCAAATGGATCTCTTGGAAACTGAGAAGGTCGCGATTATCGGATCGTTTTGCACTAATCACATGGCATTTGTCGCTTTAATCCAGGGTTTCCCTTAAATAATGCAATAGCTGATCCCCTAAGATCCTCTCGGTGATCATATCTGAGTTACCAACGCATCTCTAGGATTTCTGATAGGCCATCTCTCGTTGAGGGGACCCATATGGATTGGATATATCCAGCACAGCCATCCTTTACTCGCGTCATGACGAAGATCAACAACAATCAGCAATTCGTAGGATTCCTAGGAATAGGCCGGCCCGTCTCCAAGATCGAAATATCTCGACAAAAGCCACAATATGTGCCCCTTCCAGACACTGCAGCTCATTACGTAGTTTGCCTCCCAATCCTCTCCACCATCAACTTGTATCAGACAGCCATAAGTCTAAAACAATGAACGTCAGAAGCAATAACAATGATGATGGATGTGATGCTGATACTTCGTTCGTGACGATACAATACCTGCACATGGCACAAGTGGCTCCTACCACCCGCCGTAAAATTCTCTCCGCGAAATCTGAAGGTAAATCCGAAACGAATCTTGCAGCAGCAAGCAAACGCCCTCAACTTCCTGCTCCTTCCCCCTTCCATTCCCGTTCTCTCCCAGGATGCCCGATTCTCCATCCGACGACAACGATTCCAGAACCGCCGCAGTCGGCCCCCGCGCTCAGACAACCGGCTCCCGCCACTCCTCGCGTCAGAGCTCCCACGATCCCAACCTGAACCCGCGGAAAAGGCGTCGCCGCAGTCGCTCCGCCGACGTTCGCAATGTCCGCGACTTTGTCCCTCAAGGCGCTACCTTTAGTGCAGCGGGACTTGGTGTTGATGTAGACGCTACCTCGTCTTCCGGTTCCGACAGTGACGACGGGTCGTCCGACGGTGGTGATGATGATGATGATGATGCGCAGACCGAGTCCGCGCCCGCGCCGCCGGCGAGCTGGAATAAAGGCAGCAAGAGTGCGATTCGGACATCACTCCGCAGTCGCGCGAAGCCAGAGGAGAGCAAACCTACGTCACAGTTTGACTCTGTCAATGACAAATTCTGGCGCAGTCGCAGTGAATCTGTCTCGTCCCAAGGCGAAAACGAACCGGAAGCATCAAAGCCCGCCCAAGTCGATGGTATTGAAGAGGGTGAAGTGAATGAGGAAGAAACCTCAGACGAGTCCAGTCAGATGCAGCTTTCCGGCGACTCGGATGACTCAGAGTCTTTGGGATCGGAAGCAGACGATTCAATCTTGCTGAATATCGGGTCACGGAACGGTCAGAGTCTCGGTCAGGACCAGGATGGCTTAATCACCCCAGACGGCGACGACGACTACGACCCCGAGGCATTACCAGTATCCAACGGAACATCTACCAACGGACAGACCTCCACAAACCAATCCAAGGAGGACGCGCTCCTCCGCTTCTCGAAGAAATACCCGACCGCTCCCTCAACCCTCGCCGACCTCGACCGCGAAGACATGGACATTCAAGCGAAATACCGCTTCTACGACCGCGACGTCAACGCCATCGACCTCCAACTCCCCATCGCCTGCACAGAATGTCTACTCGAGGGCCACCTCGCAGAAGTCTGCCCGTCCCGAGAGGTAACGCTCACCCCTCCCACCACCATTACCACCACCAACTAACTAACCAACCAACCATATAGTGCATACACTGCGGCGCCTGGAACCAGCACCAAAGCAGCTTCTGCCCGACCTGGCGCCGATGCCAACGGTGTCGCGCGCGCGGCCACGACGAAGACAACTGCCCATCGGCACTGAAAGGCTCCTCCAGCGAATTCCCCTGCGAACTATGCGGCTCGACCACACACATCGAAGAAGACTGCGACCTGATGTGGAAGCTCACTACTACCCGCCCGGACTCCGAACCCGTCCTCGTCTCCCTCTCCTGCGCCCACTGCACCAGCAACCGCCACCTGATCGGCGACTGTCCCTCCCTCCCATCCACCCGAACCCTACTCTCCTCATCCTGGACCGTCCGCGGCATCGACCCTAACATGATCACCAACATCAACTCCGTCGTCAATCATAGACGGAACAACAACAACAATAACAGCAGTAATAATGGTAATAACCGAGGAGGTCTCAAGATCCGCGGCCGCGCCGACCACCGCCCGCCTTCCTCCGATAGCGACGACATGATGGCTCATCGACGTGCGCCTGTGCATCGCGGCGGCCGCGGCAATATTCGCATTGGAAGCGGGATCGGCAGAGGGAATAAGAACATCTCGGGTGGTAATGGGTATCGCGATAGATCTGATTTCGGCCCGTCGAGACAGCGCTCGATGTCGCCGAATCCTCGTTCCATGCGCGGGAGAGGTGGGAAGGATAGTTGGCAGGGCGGTGGTGGACGGGGGAAGTCGTCCGGTGGCGGTGGTGGTGGTGGTAGTCGGCCGCCGTCGAGAGGTGGAAATCCCGGTCGTGGAGGAGGTCGTGGTGGGAAGAGAGGTGGCGGCGGTGGGGATGCGTATCGACCGTTACCAAGTGCGGCGAAAAAAGCCTGGGATAAGTATCGGTTGTGATGGAGTGGGTTCTTATCGTTAGGAACAGGTTCGTTGACGCTGGCGTTTCCTGTGTGTGTGTATATATACCCCGAGGGTGGAACGATTGATGTTGCATGTTTCAAAAGTTGTGTGTGTGTTAGATCATAGCTCATAGCTTAGAGCTCATTATATGTACAGATGAGATGATACTGTAGATATCCAACGTGATGTGTACAGGATGACAGGACAGTAGTAGTCTATACGCCATTCTCCACGGCATTATCCGTAGACGTAGGGGTCTTCTCACCCCCGCGATGTCCCACAAACCCTTCATCTAAGATGCGAATCAACTCATCTAGTCTCTCGATACAGAGATCTGTATGCGCATGGTCCTTCAAATGTCCGTTATGGTCGTTGAGCAAGAGCACGGTCGCTGCGCCGGCGGTATGTCCGGCTGTCATGTCGTCGAGACTATCACCAACCTGTACACAGAATAGCAAGAATTAGTCTGACATCTTCGACCTCAAGAGCTGAAAAAAGATGGAATGGAATTACCATAATCAACCCCCCCGCCATCCCTCCCTCATCCTGCACCCCCCACTCCCTGGCAATATGCAATATCCCTGCTGGATCGGGCTTGGGCAACAAGCCCGGTGTTTCCCGTGTCACGATCGGGAGGAAGACGTGTGCGGGGAGATGGTTGTTGAGGAGGTTGAGGACGGGGGCTCTACACCACATGCTTATTAGTATCATATGGTTCTTTTATTGCATATCACAAACAATTTCTAGGGAGGGAGGTATACTCAAAATTCCTCGTACACAAAGCCCTCTTCACCCCCCTCTCTTCTAAGAAATCCATCAATTCGACTAAACCCGGTTGAGGCTGCTGGGATTCCATGGCGGTGCGCTCAATGGCTTTGATTTTGTTTGTGGCTTCGAGGCGCGATTCGGGGGTGGGGAGACGGCTGATGTGGTGTAGGATGTCGACTTTGGGGGGGATGTTGAGAGCTTGTCTAGATTATTGGTTTGTTGGTAATGGGTTGGATTGTAGTGTAGGGGTGGGGTATTGGGAAGTACCGCATTTCGGAGAACATGTGGTTTTGGGGGAGGCTGTATACAATTATGTTCAGTTATTGTTGGAAATGGTAGCTAAGAGGGTAATGGGTATAGGTATAGGTATAGGTATACCATAATGTGCCGTCAACGTCAAAGACGATTCCGCGGAGTGGGGGTGCGGAGGAGGAAGAAGCAGAAGAGGGGAGGAGAGGAGCGAATCGCCGTTGACGGAGAGGATAATTGTTCAAGGAAGCCATGAGGGAGCGGGAAATGCGTAGGGCTGGATTAGAGATGGACATTGACAGGATTTCAAGGCAAGGAGGGAGGAAGAAAAGAAGCAGAGGAATGTAGAGTGGAGAAGTGACGTTGAAGAAGGAAGTGGTTTGATGGGCTGATAAGATGGAGTGGAGACTGGCATGCGGAGTTAAGTAGGGTTTCCTTAATTACTAGTTTCGGTTCTATACTTCATGCTACTATAGACTCCCATTCCATACTGCAATACTTCTGAACTGCATCATATCTGCACCATTTGCATCAGAATAATTTTCACAAGAGATTGTCAAGGTTTAACGGTTGCACCTTCCTCTGCACCATCAACTTCTCCTTCCACACTCATATCTCCGAGTCTGACACCTCACAATGATCTATCTCTGCTTCTCCCCTGCAGTCCTCATCCTTTTTTTTTTTTCACCCTGCATCCAGTATAAATCTTCCTGCCGGTCACCATGTCAGCCAAGAAACACCATCCAGCTCCTCGCGATCCTATCCTCAATGCCATCAATATCCGCACCGTGCTCGCCCTCCTCGGCACTCTCCTCATCATCAAGCTCCTGAACCTGCTGGCACGTCTCACGGGGGTACGACGCACCTCGCCCCGATATCCCTACAGCTACGTCGGTCAAGCCATCAGTCGCAAAGAGCAACGCGTTATCCAGATCCTGCTTGAAATCATCCCCGAGAGCAGCACCTCGGTGAACACCAGTCTACCCTCCAACGCAGGCTTCTCCAGCACCGACGATAGACCCACCACGGCCGACAGTGTCCCCTCCTCCAGTCTGGTCATCCCTCTCATGCCGGTGCCGTCGCGGGTCGTTCAACTGTCTCACAGCGCGCCTACCCGGAGCTTGGAGCTCGCGATTGCCGATAGAGACCGAGGGTTTGACGACCATACGAGCACGCGCGCGAGCGTGCACTTCCTGGGCCACCAGCCGCTTCCTAGTGACTCGGTTTACTCGTCGATTGTCCGGAGGAGTCTGTCGATTAGTGATCCGAATTCCAACTGTTCGAGTCCGCAGCAGGGTATGCTTCCCGGGGTGCGGTTCTCGGGGTTCATGTCGGATAGGTTGCGGTTTAGTATTCTGAGTCGGCCGTGGTCGATGGATAGTGTGTTGGCGGATGAGTCGCAGCCTGAGCAGGTTACGTTGGATATGGCACAGTTGCAGCAGACGCGCACGGCAGACAGCTATCCGGGACCGTTTCCCATCAGTGATGGATTGGAGCCGAGCTCGTTAGCCACGGCGCAGTGTGCCAACAATGGGGCCAGCGAGGCCACGGCGGTGCGGACCTCGGTGAGGCCGTTTACCGATGTGTAGCAAGCAGCTTTGGGGGAGGGATGGAAATGCAAGATGTTATTCCTCGATGGAGCTATCTGGAGCAGAAGATGCAAGTGCAGGTGCAGATGCAGAAGCAGAAGCGCCAAAAAAAGACCATGCAGTATGTACTGTGTAATGCAAGTATGTAATCCAATCCAAATAATCAATCAATCATGCACATTCCTCCTCATGAATCGCATGGTCCAAATACCCCATAGCCCGAACAAAGATCTTCGCACTATCCAACACCCGTTTCTTGCAATCCCCAACCGTATCCATTCCCATGAACGCCCCATACGCCCGATCAAACTCGGTATGTTTAAGAGCCTTCCAAATACCATGCACATCATCCGGCGGCAGAGGAATCTATCCCCAGAAATCCCAAAAATCAGCACCCCATTAGCAACCCCCCACGGAAAGAGAGGAAAAGATAGAGGAAGACGTACCATATTCGGATAACTCCACATAAACGTATACGACGCCGTGCCCTCCCTCCTGCCTCTGTCCCCATAATCCCCAACCCCACTAGGAATCGTCCCAATAGTATCAGCAAAGAACATGACCTTTTCATCCTTCCACCACAGCACCGAACTGCCCGGGAAATGACCACCTGTTTTAACTCCTATCACCCCGCTGCCGGGGAGGACTTCTACCTCTTGTCCTTCCCAGAATATCTGCCTCTGCTTTCCAGAATCATCTTTTTCTTCTTCACGCATAACCCACTCCCTATCCTCCGCGGACAAATACACCGGACAGTTAAACGCCTCGGCCCAGACTAAATGCGTGGCGTAGTAGTGCGGATGGGAGATGATGATTGCGGAGATACCGCCTAGGGCGTTGATGTTGGTGATGGTGTCGGTGTCGAGGTAGGGGATGCAGTCCCAGAGGATGTTGCCATGGGGGGTGAGGAGGAGGAAGGCGCGTTGGCCGATGCAGTGTTTCGGGGTGGTGTGGAGGGTGTAGATCTTGTTGTTGGAGGAGTTGGGATGATGGGAGGGTAGCGGGGAGAGAATGTTCTTTAGGGGTGGTTCGTGGGTGGGGGCGCGCAGGGCTCGGAGGGTTGTGTAGTCTTGTCTGTTGGTTTTTGTGTATGGTAGGGTTAGTATGTGGTTTGGTAATTTTATGGGTGGTGGTGGTGGTGGTGGTGAGTATGGATGTGTATAGGGGATAGAGTGGGGGTTGTAGTATAGTCAAGAATGGGGGAGTAGGGATATACCCAGTTGGAGGGAGATATTGACGGGGATCATCGCAAATCGGACATGGAGTTGGCGGCGTGGGAGTTGAGAACTGGGTGCCGCAGGTGGTGCAGATGGGGAGGTCGAGGGGGTCAACAGTAGTAGTATCACTAGTCATGACGAATAATAATATTGTATCTGTATCTGGTTTTGAGTTATTTGGCACAATGTAGAGATACAAAATCGAAACACCCATCAAATGGGAGATATTCACTGCTTAAATGTATGGAAGAACATCAGCTGTTCTCCGCATTGACCCCGCATGTACTGGAGCCATGGATCGCCGAGCTGAACCTCAGCTGAGCTGCTGCTGGTCTGCAGCTGAACTGATAAGCTGCAAACCAGGGCTCGACTTGGGCACAATGATGTCAACACTATCTGAATCTTAAAGGAAAAGAAAAAAATGTGGAAACTTTTGTATTCCATCCATCGCATGGCATACAGCCCATCCATTATGCACTAATCGAGAAAAATATGCTGCAAGAAGGGAATCATATAGCACAAAAATGCAGAAGTCGGTACAAAAGTAGCAATACTAGTCGACACATCCCCCCTTTCCGCCCATACAACCATCCATTTCATGCACGCTTGCTATTGCTGCGCGGGTCATAAGTCGTGAACATAACAAATCGTATAACAGGTCCAAATCGAAAGAAAAAAATGACGAGAGGAGAAGAAAATAATATTGGGTATCAAACGTCTGTCGCGTCAATAGTCATGGTCGGCATCCACCTGCTCCGGACTGGCGCGATACTGGCTTCGCTGCCGCCGTGCAGGGCTGAACTGGCTGCCCGACGTTAGGGGACGAGGCCCCGTGGGTTTCCGGGGAGGCGGTGTGCTACGGGGAGAGCGCATGATCGAACTCTACAGAGATATGGTCAGCATCATGCGAATAAAACGTCCCTTCCGGGTATGATCACTAACCCGCGAAGCAACTCGTTCCATGTACGATCGCTCATCGTCTTCCTTGACTTTGGGCGGCCGCTCCGGGATCAGTGGCCCCTCATCCTTGATCTTAGGCGGACGAGGAGGCCCCGTGTGCCGCGAGCTCGCTTCCGAGTAGCCCGCGTCTGAGATGGGCGAAAGACGACTGGCGCCGCTGTAGCGCGGGTTGGCGTTCACGCCAGACAAGCTGGGGTTGGATCCCCACTGGTCCGAAGGTGCGCCCGCCGGCACGCCGTAGACCTGCGCTTGCGTTTCCAGCTGGTTTTGGTATCGTCCAGACGGGCCCTGGCGAGGCTGGGGATGGTGAAGATCGAGACTGCCCCGGTGAGCCCGGTACTTCGGCGCCTCCGACGCTTGTCCCGATGCTTGAGACGGAACCAGAGGGGACGGCGGCCGATTCTCCTGCTGCGGGTCCTCCAGAGTGTACGTCGAGCGCAGTCGGTCTTCGCCCTGGGGATCATAGTAGTCCGGCTTGTATGGTCCTGGTGCAGCCTCGGATCCAGAGCGCGAGGTATCGAAAGACGCTCTCTCCTTGCTGCGGCCAGGCTGAATACTGTTGCGGATGTTGTCTCCCATCGAAGACGCCGTGGTCTTGGACCAACGGGAGATCTTGGGGAAGAATGAAGAGCTGCTCGATTTGTGCTTCTTGGCCTTCTCCGTCGTCTTCGGAGTCGCCTCGTTACTGAGGGCACCCGAAGCCATAGGCTCACGAGGGGGTGTTGACACAGGAGCGGAGCCAGCCCGGCCCTGACGGTTGTTGGCCGTCTCCTGCGAAGGCATGGTTGGGCTCTGGAACTCCGCCTGCTCATCTATGTCTTCATCCAGTTCCGGCACCGTACTGACGCGGTTTTCCATGCCCCTCCGCAGTCCATTACCCACGAGTGGTTCCAGAACAGGCTGGGAAGAGGTGGAAAGGTACTCCGACTGGTTTCCGGGCGACGAAGTCCCAGCATGGCCCTCCGGCTCATAGCCCTCCGGATCCACACTGGCCGCTCGGTTGCCTCCCCGCATGTACCGGTCATCCTGGCCGTAGCGTAGAGCTTCGACTTCATCAAGGAGCTGTTCCAACATATCCTCAATTCGGGTGAGGTCGTTGGAGTTCTTGAGGCTCAGGCCTTTGAGTGCTCGCTTGAAGATATTCTTCCGCTTCGAACGCAAGTCATCTCCATCGTCAATAGGCACCTGACGAGCACTACGCGTACTGGCCGGCTGAGGGCGTGGCCCACCAAGAGCTCGATAGGTCCGCTCGTGCTGTCGGTCACTAGCTTCCATGAGCATTCCGTCCTGTAGAGCAATGAACTTCTTCATCTCCTCGAATGAGTTGCGCATTTCCGCGGCGCTTCGAACAAGAGTCACGAGAATCTCCGTATCCCTGGCATTCCGTTGGGCATCGCGAACCGTGAGCTGTTCGAATAAGTCAGCAGTGATACCTTCAAACAAGATGACATGTTTACTAACATGGTCCATGAGTGCAACAATGTCCTTGGACTGAATCCGATCAATTCCTTTCCCAGTTGCACTGTCATACAGAGGGGAGCCAACTCCTTGAGAGTAGCCACTCAATTGCCGCTGGTGACCAGGCATAAAGTGGTCTTCCCCACCAAGGGGACTGTCAAACAAACCCATTCCATTTGTGTCGATTCCAGCAATACCCTTGCTGAGTGGCTCGGGGGTTTCAACACTCGGGGAGCGAGGGTTCGCGGCCGAGACATACCCTTCGTCTTTGGCACCAAGCGGTGTGCCGAGCATCTGGCCTCCGTGGTACTGCTGATCATAGTAGTCGTTCGCACCGTAGTCATCCTCCGGGTAATAGTCCTGGCCATAGTGGGAGGGCTCAACTGACCCCAAGCCCAGGCCAGCACCCGCACCAGCTCCAGTCTTGTCAAAGAGGGGCGACGGAGCGTCTTTGGAAGGGGTGCGGTTGAACGACCAGCTGTTTTCGTGGGCCGCGGGACCTTGAATGATGGAAGGATTGGTATTGATTTCCGATTCTGAATCAGGGCTCCGGTCGTCTTCATGCGGCATTGGGCTGCTGTCGAGGTCGCCAGCGAACAAAGGAGCCGGCTCGTTCTGGTAGTGGTCGTCCAGTGACTGGGTGACACTCTGGGGCGGCGACGTAGCACCCATGCGTCTAGGGAACGAGGTCGCGTCGGGGCTGGAAACCTCCTCGCGCTGCTTTAGAGGGCTTCCTCGGTGAGATTCATGCTCTGCCGGCTCATGCTGCTCATGCTGCTCCAGAGGCTCCGGCTCCCAATCCTCCTCCTCTTGCTCCGGGATACCAGCCATGGAGCGGTTCGCTCCAGACTGGCTGGACTTGGTGTCCAGGATCGTGGGTTCGAGGACAGAGGCCACCGCCGATTCAACAGCCATTGGATGTACGAATCGGGGGTTGGCAGCAAGGCCTTCAGTTACCGGTCGGCCCTGATCTTCCTGGTCGTGGTGATCAAGCTCGCTGTCATCGGTGTACCCGGTCATGCGTTTACCCACGGTGCTCTGCGTCTCAGTTTCTGCTAGCGAATGCTGGTCTTCATCATCGTCGGAATATTCCTCCCAGTGTCTTTCCTCTCTGGGGGACGGTCGGGGGGTCTCCTCGTAGCCGAGCTCGGGGCCAGGTTCCTGTCGACGGCGTAGGGACTCCGTCTGGCTCGTGATGCTGAGGCCTTCTGGACGGGTAGATCTTGCAAAATCCGTACTGGGCGCAGACGAAAGAGAGTCAATCGAGAGACGCGGCTCCAATTCTCGTTCATCTTCGGAGTAATCGTACCTATCATAATGGGTCAAGTCCCGCTTGACCGGAGATTGGCTCTCATTGCTGGCCACGCTCTGAATCGGACTAAGAGTGCGCCGACGGCTCGCCAGATCACTGTAGTCGAGGTCATGATTCTCGGAGTGGGAGTCGAGCAAATTCGCGGCAGCGGCAGCGGCGATAGCGCCTGCGGCGGCATCCCCGACGGGCGACCGACTCGAGGGGCTATGCATCGACAAGTCGTGGCTGGACAAGTTGCTGTGCTTGAGCTTCAGCTCATGCCGCACGTCCAGAGGCGTCCTATTTGGCGTGCGAGGTGCAGGTGACAGGGGTGCTGGCGAGAGAGACTGGAAAGGGGAGCCGCGGAAGCCGTCATGGAATTTGGTGTCTCCGTACGGTGCTGCTGGTTCGGCGGTCTGCTCGGAGAGAAGGGAAGCTCTGGTGAGGTCGGATTCAATCGCACTGCGCAGTGGCATGGGGGCGACATTGTGTTTCTGGAAGACTAGTTCGGTCTCGTTAATACTGCCGGTGCGGCTTCGGGCCCCACTGCTCTTTCTTCTTCCCTCGCTTTTTCCGAGGCTGGACCGTGAGTCGTGATGCTGGAGGGCTGCAGCGGTTAGGGCCGTCCCCACGAGTGCAGCTTTTTCTGCATCACGCAGTCCTTTGCTCTTTTGTCGACGGAGCTTTTCTTGCTCCGTCAACTCGGGGCGGTTAGCCCATTTGATGTAACCGAGATCCTGGCTTCTTTCGCTTCTGCCATGACTTCGTTCACTGTCCTTGCTGGATCTTCGTTCTTTCTGGGATGGGACGGAGTCGCCAGAAAGGACGATGCCTTCATCGCGACTATCCTTGTTCAGGACGACCTTGGGCTTCCGGACGTCAGGGGCGCTTGCGTGTTTGGAAAGTCGTCTGCCCAGCTCGTCCCGAGAGGGCGTGCTGGCTGATGAATGTGAGGTGTTCATGTCTCGTTCAAATTTGGACGTGTTGGTGATGACTTTCTGGTCCTTCTTAAGTTCCTTCAGCTCAGGCAGTATGAGTCTTCGGATCGCGTCTTCGACAGTTTCAAGAAGCTTTGGGTTGTTGATCGATGACTTCGAGGTGCCGGATTTGAACGAGTATTGATCACCGGATCGGCGATGCGAGGACACAGCCGAGGCGCTGAGGAGGCTGGATTCTGGACTCATCATATCGTCGGGAAGAGCCCGACGACGAGGAGACTTCGAATCCATATCTTGGAGATCACTGCCGTCTTCGAACCTACTTCTTTCGGCACGCCGGCGTTGCCTAGAGACGTCACGAGGGTCGTTGCTGAGCTTCTCTGCGACTCGATGAGCAATGCGTTCGGTGCTGAGGCTGCGACTACGTTGTCGCCGGGGGGTTTTGAGGTACTCCTTGGATTCACGTTCCAAGCTCTGACTGCGTTTTCG